ATTAGTTCAAAAGAAAATTAAAAAATTGAAACATCTTTAAATAATGACCTCATTCATTATTGTACTAATTGTTTTCTCTCTTTTGATCATTGGTCTGAGTTTGGTCTTGAGACTCTTCAACTTTCTAAACCCACAACAGAAACTATTGTGACAATTTGGAATTGAAGTTGCAAGAAAATTTCATATTTTGTAGCTTATGTATCGGGAAGGGTCAGAGAAAATTTTGATGAATTGAAAGAAAAAAAATCTTATAGCCTCAAAGTAAATGTTCTCAGGAATAAGCATCTATTGGGTTGGACTGGAAAAGATTTTCTTAGTTTTTCCATTTGTGAAAATTGCCAACTCAAGGCACAAAAAGGAAGAGTTGCTATACCAACTGTTCAAATAGTCCAACTGAGAGGAAATGAAATAACAAGTTCTGAAATTTATATGTGAATATGACAGTTTTTCTCATTTAAATACAAAGTATTAGGCAATGGACTAATAGGTGAGTTGAACAGAAATAAGGAGACAGAAATATTTCTTTTATTAAAATAAGCTAAAGAACATATTCAGGTTAAGTTATATATACAAATATAAGGTCACCAAAGTATTTAAGCCCATATTTAGGTTTTCTAAATATCTTAAGCTAAATTTTTAAAATGTTATGTATATTTAACATAATAACTAAAACTGCTTTGTAGTGAATTGTTTCTGTGGTATAAGTTGCTGTTATGCTCATTATTGTGTGCTAATTAATATTACAGCTACAATTTCATGTGATTTGAAATAGACCTGCTTCTCTACTAGTGTATTCTAAAATCGTAAGTAGATACAACATCTTCAATGTGACAATATTGAGAGACATGGTCAGTGACTAGTGTTCACAACAGAAAAGAAAAATTTTACCTTTAATAAATACAAGTTGTTTCTACTCCTGTTAAGTATGATAACCAAATCTCAGCTTGAGTAGATTACAGGTTAAATATAAAGTAGACTGAAACTGAGTCTCTGCTGCTCAAATATAAAACTGGTTTAATTCAGATATATTTGTAGAATTCCCTTAAGTTACCATTTACTGAAAGCTTTAAAAGTTTTGCTGAAGTTAGAAATGTCCTCAAGTGTTCTTTGCCTTAATGGACATCTTAAATTAGTATTTCACAGCATATGTGTCATTTCCCAGCTAATTAGAGTTATATATTAAAACATCAAAGAATGATTACATATTACTCTGCATTTTATAAGCACACCTGTTTTATTTAATTAAAATTTAGTGATAATTAGCTTTAAAATCCACTTTAGTTTATAAAATTGAACCTCCATTAGACAGTTGTGTGCAAACTACTATTGACGTTATAGAACTAGCAGGGAGTGGTTGTGTGTGTGTGTGTGTGTGTGAGTGTGAGTGTGAAAGCAAGCAAGCAAGGGAGAGATGAGAGATGGGGAGGGAGAAGGGGAGGGGGAGAGAGAGAGAGAGAGAGAGAGAGAGAGAGAGAGAGAGAGAGAGAGAGATCTAGCTCCTCTCTAGAAAGCCTCTTCTAGTGGGAGAAATGTCCAGGACAGAAACGCCATGTGCTATGGAGAATCACAGAAGTCCACAACTGAATGGGAGCCCTACAAATCACCTAGCTTATTTCTTCCTTTATTTTTCAAATGAGAAAATGAAGGCACAGAACGTTAAACGTCGTGACAAGGCTACACAGAGAACTGCAAGCCAGTCAAGAAGCTGGTGTCCTAACACCCAGACCAAATGATAAGTCTATTATTCTTTAACCTACCACTGGTAAAGACTTTGTCTTCTACTAAAACAAGAATGAAGTTGATGAGTTCATGATTTTATTAGGAAACAAACACCCACAATCACACACACATACACACACACCCAGAACATTACTTTATCGTGTGTGGCATTTTATCTTTATGTCTTAATTGTATGCATCACAAATTTATATGTAATGCATACGTATGCATTATAGATCGGAATCTGTGATTCAGGTAATACTTATACTGACTCCCCAATTTTTTCAAGATTTTAAGGTTTGTGCAGTCGTAGGATCATTCCTCTTCTAGTAGTATGTTTTAATTAACAAAAAAAAGTTTTTTGGTCTTTTTGTTGTTGTTTATTCTTTTGAGAATTCTGTGCCATTCAAGTTGTTCCAAAACCAGGATTGGAAATCATTGGTAGTGACAAATGAATAAGAAAGTGCCATCTTTTTGAACAACTATAATTCCATGGCAAGTAAGCTAAAGAACCACAAAAAATCTTCAGAGTTGAGAGTTTTTTCAAAATAACTTATTAATTTTCTTAGGCCTTGTAGTTTGGGAGATCTGCAAGAGCAATGAAGAGCAGTGATATGGCTGACTTAGAAGGGGGATAGTCTACTCTCTGCTCACCTATTTCTTTCCTGCCTGAGAGCTTTGGTTGGACTCCTTCCTCAATTATCTCCCTATTCCAAAGCATGCAAAAAACAATTTTTTAACGATTAGTCTAGTTAAAATAATCCCCCAAAAGTGACCCCCTAAAAGGGCTTTGTGGTTGGGGACAAGTTGGAACAAGTGCATTCAAATATCACCAGGACTGGAAAGGAGCCCAAAGGCAGAGTCCAAGCAAGTAGCCTCCCAGGGCTGATAAAGGTCTAATGAAATGTCCTTTTCTATGGGGTATTTCCTTCTTCCCTGAAGCAGCAGCAGCGGGAGCACAAAGAACTCAAGTCCGCATTTCCACTTCTCTGTAAAGTGCTCTGCAAATCAAATAAAATGAACTGCTTGGCTGCTTGGAGATTCTCAGGTACAATGTGGAAAATCTGAGGAAGCCAGGGTGCGAAGAGATCACCCCTGGGAATGGAGAGAGGGGGAGCATTCAGGGGGTGCTGCTCACCACAATGGCGCCATACTTGGACGGCACCAGGAAAGAGCTATATACATAAATTAAAAAGCTTGAAAGCTGGCACGGGTGAGACAAGTCACAGGTGAGCCAGAAACCTGACAAGGCTGTAAAGGAAATGCGTGGTTACAGAATTGTGTGGGCTTCTGTGAAGAGCCTGATGAGTTGTACAGAAGTCATTACTTAATTTGGGCACTAGATGCTGAAGCGCAACTGTCTTCCGTGTGGCTGAGAAATGCAAGGGAGTATGTGCAGCACTGAAGTGAGAAACAGGCACTTAAAACAGAAAAGAGTTGTAGGTTGAGGTCTGTGCGCCTGCGTGATTCTGAGGCGGGTCGCCCAAGGAAAGGGCCAGTGTGCAAATGTTACTTGGATGATTGTTTTTCTTCATGGTTAAAGGACTGCCAACAGAGCATTTTCCTAAGCATTAGATGCTTTCTCCTCTTCCCCCGTCCCCAGTGGTCTCTAAATGATGAATTGGTCTATGGAAAAAAAAACTGAGAGATAAAAATGCCCATTTGCATTAATTCTTAAATGTAAGCAAAACTAAGAAACAACAGTCATCCTATCAACCGTTTGAAGCATGATTATAAGCAAAATGGGAACTGGAGTTGTGTGCTCTGTTCTGAATTTCTGAGTGTGTGTGTGTGTGTGTGTGTGTGTGTTTGTGTGTGTAATATAATGTAGATATTTAGGAGAGCTGAAGCAGGATGAGTAGCTTGGCAATAAGAAAGCTTACATGATAAAAACACTGTGGAAGTTAAAAAGAAATCTTTCAGCAAAGTTGCCTTTTATCTTTTATTTCTCATTTTCCTTGCTCCTGTGGCATCATTTAATTAAAAATGCAAGAAACATACAAATCTGAAGAGGCACATTCTTGATGATAAGAAGACAGGAAGACCAAAGCAGCTTAGTCACACTAAGCAGGTTAAATGGCCGAATAAGCCCACTGAGAATGTCCTTCCAGGGAGCAAGAAACCCCTATGGAGATGCCGTAATTTCCTAAGTAAAGAGATGCTCCTCCCAAATAACTGAACAAGATTCTCTAGCAGTTTCCATAGCCATGTTTAGAAGTGCAATAAACTTTTAGAGGTGAACAGAAGATGTTAGTGTGTTTTCCTAAAAACAATTTATGCTTGGTGTACAGTGCCAGATATATGGCATTTCTTGGAATTATGTGTATTTGCAAAATTTGACAACCTTCAGGTAAGCATGCCAGCCCAGGAGCAGAAAAGAGTTAATGAAATAATCTTAATATTTATTGAAACATCACTATTTTGTGCCTTTATGCCAGGCAGTGATAGACAACCCCATGCTATTATTTTACATGAGTTCCTTGCTAGCAAACGAAAAGCCCTTTAAACAGACTGCCTCATTCTTCGATGTCTAGGATAAAAGGCATCTACCATGATGTTTCAAAACTTATAAACATATATGTATATATGTGTACATATGTATGTATGTATGTAGGTGTATCTGTCAAGTTTACTTGGGAAAATATCCCAATGTAAATGGGGCTTACCTACTGTGGTGTTTTGTTTGTTTGCTTCCTTTTTTTGGTAGGAGACACAAAGAGGTTAACTGAATGACAATCTTTCTGTTGGTGGAAGCACTTACAAACCTGATCTGCTCATGATACACAATTTAGGGCTGCACAAGTTCACAGAGGCTATGGATTCAAAGGTTTGGAAGACTATCGACCGTGAACTAAATATTTAGGACACACACCCAACAGGATACATCTAGGCACTGAGATGATCGAGCCAGGAGAGAGAATAAGAAACCATGATGTTCCAAAGGACAGCATTAGAGTCAGCAGTTGATTATCACAGGACATTATGTCATGAGGATGGTAATTCCTTGTAGTTCCTTATTTGCTATGTAAATGTGTGGAATTTTCTCTGACTTGCTTTAAAATTAGAATCGTCAATGTCTCATGAGACAAAGTAGAGTCTGCCCTGGAATCGAGGGATAAACCTACATGACATTTCAAGGTTCCCTTCCTACACCAATATAAAATTCAGCATTACTCAACAGACCTGGTTACAATAAGGGTGAACTAAAATGCAGAAACATAATGTCATTCCTTACACAAAAACAGCTAGGCAAGCTATTTGATAATGCTCTAAGACATTACGTGGTCAGGTAAACCAAAATGACATATGTAAATCTTTTCCAAAAATCAACGTACAAGCCCACAAATTCTCACTATAAATTGCCTCGGGAGGGGCTGCTCTGATGAAATGGAAATGTCTCCTCCGTATGTGCAGTTTCAGACTCTATAACATTTAAAGAAAATGTTCTAAAAGATAAAGTTGGCATGTAAAAAGCACAGGCAGAGGAATCAGTAATGATCAGAGCAAAACAATTCTAGAAGGCATCTTAATTTTCATATGGCTCATTTGCATTTGAAACACTGAGAATTCCTATCTCTCTTGTACAAAAATGTGTACATATTAAGTTACTTTCCACTTGAAAGAACATTTTCCTAAATGTTTGGAAGATGATCAAATTTTAACTGGAGGACTTGTTTTCTTCCATCAGGTGTGGGGGAGATGTGGCTTCCTGGTATGAGAGGCAACAGTTGATTCTAATAGCAGAACAAGACAAAAATAAGAAAGTAAATGGAAAAGAATTTCTATTTGTACAATTTGATTTAAAGATGGCAAAACAAAAAAGGATACATATGATACAAAGATGTCGAAAGACATCAATTTAAAATCAAATAGGGTTAACTTTCCAAAAATTGTGATATTCTGACACTTGAAAATTAGGTTCTATTACTTATTCTAGGATTCTCATGGATGTAGTTGATTTATTTCAGTATGTTTATTTCTGAGTATCTAGTCTGTGTTTAAAAATTAGATGCTCCCCAGCTTTTAGACAATAATTTCAAGAGTCTACATTCTACTTATCTTGAATTTTTAATTTTAGGATATTAATTTTAGGATATTTGACAAAACAGTAAAGATTTAAAACCTCTTTACTATCAATTTTAAACAATATTTAGTCTTAAGGAAATTGTTGGTTACTCACTCAGAGACCTAGAAGTTGGTATCCAGGGGGAAATTTGAACTCACAAAGTGAAACCACATTGAATGGAAAGATCTTTTTAGTTTATTTTTAAACTAAAACTTATTAAAGAATTTTTAGTTTATTTTCTGATACGATAAAATATTTAGGGAAGAGGCTCATGTTCAGAAAGAAAACCAGAACCTGAAAGACATCCCTGCCTTTCTCTTGGCCTTGCTCTCCAGAGACTTCACCTAGTGGCGGGAGATGCTTAGGCATGGTCTCAAAGGTGGGGGCTCTAGTATGACTTCCTCCTGAGGTGGGACAGGAGGCAGTTGACGAAGGACACAGAACATGACCTGAGTTCTGGAAATGAGATTATCTGGGTCTATGCTGCTCTTTGTGCTTCTTTTCCTTTTGGAGAAATAAAGTCCCCGATCTGCATCAGCTGGGCTATGGGGTATGAAGGAATGGGGGACACAGCTGTGAACGGGAGATTCCCAGGGAGAGGAGCATCCGCACCTCCTCGAGGCGAGGCTGGTAGCAGCGTAGTTAGGAACCGAGGGCCAGGATGGGGCACTGCCGCTCTTCACCCTCCCAGGCCAAGCGGGGGGAATCTGGTGACATGTTTTTTTAAGGAGACAGTGTTTTAACACACAATTCACCCTGTATTTCAAACTGCTGCCTCAGACTTATTTGAGCAAACTCTTATCTTTTGGTTCAGTAAAGTGCATTGGGCTTGACTTGCAAACACATAACTTAAAACAGTAAAAGATAAAATGGTCTATGTAGTAAAAATTTGAAAATTATCTTAACATGTCATCTTATTGGTTAGTTTGATCTTTCTCTCTACAAACTTCGATTTTAATGATTAAAATGGTGAAAAAAAACCACAACAACCTGCTTTCTTCCTTTATGGTAGACATGCTAATGAGAAGATAAATGACCAATAAGTAGATCAAAGGCTGAAGCTGAAGCAAACATAGAATGGGATGATTGTCCGTCTGGTAACTTGAAAGTTACATCTTTGTTTATTAATAAGCAATGTTCAGCTATTTATTTATTTGGATAATATTTACCGAGTACCTTCTATAGGTCAGACACTGTTTTAGGTGCTGGGGACACAAGATGAAAAATAAACCCCAAACCAAAACAAACCTACTTCTGTGGGGTTTATGTTTTAACCTCAAAGTTTTTCTGAAACCAAGTAAAGCAACAGTCACCTAAGAAACTGCAGAATCAAGGTCTGTCATATTCATCATCTTATTCTACGATACTGGCACATTTTAGGATAAAATTTGGTTCTTAGGTGTTTGAGTTTCATCTCTTAGTATCTGCCAGAGCTTGTCCTTGGTTTTGAGGAAAAGCCTAGGGAAGGTAAGCTTAGGTGCCTGCCATCAGTAAAAAGACGGGAAGAGTTGAGTTTCCTTTATGGTGTGTCTGGAGGCAAGAGAGGGTCCTGGGCTTTCCTTGGTAACGTTCAAACTCAGTCCTGCTGTAATTAGGGTTTTATTGTATGAAGTTGTTGTATTTTGGGTACACGAGCTATCCAATCAGTGTGGCAAAAAGTTGAGCAATACTTCGATTCAATCATATTTGGAATAAGATTTTGCAACAAATTTGGATATTTTCATAGTTTTATGGTTTTATTACATCAATCACCAAAATTTATTAAGATAAACAAATACAACTAAACCAGTGCAAAGAAAGGTCTTGGTGTCCACCTAGTCTCACTTTGAAAAGTAGAAAAGGAAAAAAAAGAATCATTTTTATAGCACTTTAACTTTTGAACAGAGGTACCTGCTGGCGTCTTCTGTTTCTTCCTTCAGTACGTGCTTTTCTTTTAATTTGGTCCTCATGAAAAGAATCAAAGTAGGGGCTCTCCAGGAGTTGGGCACAGGTTAATCTGTCATCAGGATTCATCTTCAAACACTCCTTTGGAAGAAAAGAAAGTATTAAAAGGGGGGCCTATTTTGTTACTGTGATCTGAAACTGAATAACTTGTTAGAGCAAATACGAGTTTAGAAAATCTTCAGGTTTGTATATTACCAAGTACTCAAAACTTGTTAATAACTAGAATTGCTTTTCTTTTGCCATTTCAAAGTCTTGAGGGTAGAACTGAACATTCAGTGTCTCTGGAAGGGGGCTACAACTAGAGCAGATGTTTCTTTTTTTTCCCAAAGATTTCATTTATTTGTCAGAGAAAGAGAAAGAGAGAGAGATACAGAGCACAAGCAGGGGGAGGGGCAGGCAAAGGGAGAGGGAGAAGCAGACTCCCTGCTGAGCAGGGAGCCCAATGCGGGGATCATGACCTGAGGTGAAGGCAGACACTCAACCGACTGAGCCACCCAGGCGTCCTGTAGATCAGGTGTTTCTACCAATGACACCTCTTCATCACGTGTCAAAGCACATAGTTTGTGCGACACTTCAAGTGTGATCCCGCGCATAATCCCAGGACCAGCTGCATCAGCATTACCTGGGAACTTGTTGTAAATGCAGTTCCTGCTCAGTCAAAAGCACTGGGGTTGGGCTAGGGCTACTGGAGGCTAGTAGAAGCCTCTAGCTTTGCCCCCAAGAGAGGGAAGGACTCTGCCAGCAGTGGGGCTGGTGGAGTCCCGTCACAAAGATTTTCTTCAAGAAGCCCTGATGCTCTTTGGCCAGAGAATGGGGCTTTTCCCATGAAGAAAGGCAGATTATGATCCATAAGAAATTAGAACAGCCTTAGAACACCCAGGCACAGGAGACCTGAAATTTCCTGCCTTACGGCCATGAAAGAGAAGTAAAACTTATCAACATAACAGACTTAGTTTGAGGCATTTGGGTGTCCAGATAATTATTTTGACTGAGGCTGCCCTGTTGTGTCCATTCCTCCCTAACCCCAGCTGACCTCAGGTCTCTGAGATCCCGCAAATGCTGCCACCCCTACAGTCTCACCTGCCCTTCAGAGCCGTGTCTGATTGGACCTGGCTTTAAGAAACAACCCTGCTTGGCATAATCAGATTCACCTGTCCCTCCAGAGCATCACCTGCTCCAAGCAGATCCCACCCTACCCCCATGTTAATGATCCGTACCATAATTAAGTCTAGCTGCTATTGGGGGTCTGTCTCCTCAAAGCCTAACACTGTCAGGACTGTAACCAGCACAGAAAGACTGATATTCCAGGATTCTGAATCTAAACTGTGGTGGTCTATTTCTTCATCACTTCATTCTGGCTTTTGCCTCCATCATTCCACTTAAGTGACTCCTGTTGTTCAGACCTATGACTTCCACGTTCATAAATCCAGTAGGTAGATCGTGTTCTCATCTCCACAGTGTTAGACATGACTGACCACATCCTCCTCCTCGAAACTTCCCTTGGCTTCTTGATGCCTCCCTTCCCTGCTCCTTACCTCGTGACCACCCCTTCTCAAACCAGCCTGTGTTAGTTTACCTTCTCCACAACGGGTGGGTGGAACTCCTCCAGGCTCAGTCCTAGGCTCTCCTTTCCCCTCTGTTTCTAGCTAATCTCACTGACTCTTAAGGCTTCAATTATTAAGGTTTATCAGAGACTTCCACATGTATATTTCTGGTCCAGACCTCTCCTTTGAACTCCAGACCCACATATGCAGCAGCCTACTTAACAGCAGCCTATTTAACAGTTCTCATTTGTCTCAAGGGCACTGTTATGGATTGACTATGTTGAAATCCTAACCCCCAATACCTCATCATGTGATCTTATTTGGAAATAGGGTCTTTGCAAATGTAAATGGTTAAGATGAGGTCATACTGGAATAGGGTGGGCCCTAATCCAATGGGATGGTGTTCTTACAAGAGGGAAGACACTACAAAGACAGACACCGAGAAAACACCAGAAGACAGAGACAGAAACTGGAGTTCTGCTGTCATAAGCTCAAGAATGTCTGGGGCTAGTTTCTGGTAGAGGCCAGGAAGGATCCACCCTAAAAGCTTCAGAGAGAGCATGGCCCTGTCAACATCTTGATTTGAGTCTTCTAGTCTTCAGAACTGTGAGAAAAAATTTCTGTTGCTTGCAGTCACCCAGTTTGTGGTACCTTTGTTACAACAGCTCTAGGAAACTGGTACAGATATCTCATGGTACCTCCTCTACTCACTCCCCAGATCTGAATCATAATGAAGTCCTATCAGTTTTATTTCCAATCATATGTTGAATTCATTCACTTTCTTTAATGGGCTTTCAATCTATTGAAATCTGGTCTACTAAATACCTATGGGTTTTTAGTTTAAAGAACATTTTTAGATTCTAAGAATAAGCTGCTAATGCTGAGCTGTTCCATGGGGCCTGGGCTAGAACAATATCCTATTTTGTTAGTTCTAGGAGAAGTGAGATGAATTGGGTGGAGTTGAGGCTTCTGAGTTGTTGACTGCCTGGATTAATACCTTTCTATACACCAAGAGGCCGATGAATTCTCAGAGGTATTCCCTGATCAGAGTGATCCCAACCCAGGAAAGGTTTTTATGATGAGGGACAAGAAATTGGAACTGCAAAGTACATGTTAGGATCCTTTTCTTGAAACTTCAGATTTCATAGAGAAGCCTTAAAAATATTTCCAAGAGCCTACAGACTTCTTCTTTGGCCAGATTAAACTAATACAGTGATAGGATGTTATGGCTATGAAAGCAACTGAGAAAAAAATAATACTGTGTCTGTTGTCTCAATTAAAACCAAATGAGGAGAAACACACAAGCTCTGCTGTTGATTGGCTACTCCATGCCACCACTGACTTTGGCACTGTCATTGGCTGGCACTTCATGCATTTGAGCAGGTGCCTGCATAGATGATGGCCTAGTCCCATGGGATGACTACCTATTATAGTAGCTGGTTTTTATTTGTTAGTAAAGATGTCTCAATTGCAATTAGTGAAAGAAAGCCTTCCTTCATCTAGCCTGGGGCAGAAGTCTAGGAAAAAGGGTGTGACCCACGGAACAGCACAATCCTTGATGCACTTAGAGAATCCTTGGGTCTCAGGTCAGACATTACAGGTATAAATCAAATGGTTGCGCGACAAAGCTAGGCTTCATCCAGAACTGGGCAGGCAAACAGGGCACTTCACCTTTGGAGCTGAGGACAGGGAGTTTGTCCAAAACTTGGAGTTTTTCTGCCCTGGAGTTGCCTTCCAGGAAGTTTTCTCTCTCGTTAGTTAGAGGAATAACTAGCAGAAGCCTCGGCCTACACGTGAGGATGGGTTGAGTTTGTGGTGCTTGACAGATACCCTCCCCGCAGGAGGCCTTGCTAAATTGCAGATGGGTCAGAACCTGTACAGAGCAAGGTTGGGAAACTGGAGTTCTAGGAGAGAGCCTGCAGGTGCTGGGTTAAGGTAGGTCAGAGCAGGGAGACAGAGAGAAGGCAGCAGAGGGCCAGTGAAGCACTGGGAAGTGCGGTCTGAGGGCACAGAGGTGTCAGGCTTTCAGAAGGACACAGACCAAAGGAATCCAGCACCTTGGATAGCACCTTGGCAGTGACCACCATTAGCACAATGGCAGGTCTACGCAATCCGACTCTAGGTCAACCAGGTGGCTCTGCCTTCTAGATCAGATGACTTCTGAGCTTGGCTGTGTACCATGAGCACCTAGAGGGATGTTTAGAGATACAAATTCCAAGGTCCTATACAGAGAGATTTTGCTTCTGTAACGCTGAGGTTAGATACTGGAATGTATATTTTTTAAAAAAGCTCATTCTGATGAGTAGTCATTCTGGTGAATACTATGGAAACCACTGCTATAGCTAGAACTTAATTGGTTGCTAAAGATAGATACCTTTACTGATATCTCCATCCGTATCCCACTAAGAACTTTCAGTATCCACAGTGGAGGTAAGAGTCACATCTTCTAGCATGGGTCAGTTGGTCAAGCATGAATGACAGACTAGTCATAGGTGAATTTCTTCTGCTTTTTATTAGAATTTGTCCTTTGACTATTTCTTTTGGGCCTAGTGAAAGAGCTATATCTGGTGTCTGCATGTCTCTGAGTTTGCCTGGTCTATTAATTTAAAAAAAAAGATTTTAAATTTTATTTAACCCAATGTATCTAAAACATTATCAGTTCAACATGTAATTAATATCCTAGAACTTCTTAGTGAAATATTTAATAGTCTTTTTTATAGTAATTTTCATAGAAATCTAGTACATCTTCATTCAAATTAGCCATATTTCAAGTGTTCAATAGTAATATGTAGCTAGTGACTACCATATTGGACAGTACAGTTCTAGACCTTCAAACATTCATCCTCATAAATTTCCATAGTCTCAATATACTGACTTAACAGTCAAATTTCCTAATAAAGGCAAAAGAAGTAATGGTGTTTGTCACAGCAAATGCTAATTATACTCTTCTGTCTTTGACTAGTTTTAATGGATATGTTAGAAAGATTACTGCTTCAACTACTGATGTTCTTTAACCATAATTATTTTACAGTTCCTTATTATGTTGAATGACTACTTGGCATTATTTGCCCTACTGTCAATCCCTCCCAGAGTTTCCAGCTTCAATTATTACAATTTGCTGTCAATAATGGTTATAATTAATCCTTAAGTACCTTCATGAAATTCAAAGACATGGGATGAGCATCCGAGAACTTTTCTTCAAGAGTTTCCTAGAAAACAAAATAAAGAATTTCAATGTTACATAACAACAAAGTTATGTTTATTTTGAATATATTAGAAATAAGAACAATTTGGAGAAAGACTTCCCCTAGTAGGTTAGATAATTCCTTTTAAGGACTTTTTTAAAGTCCTATTCTTATATAATTTTACACTATAGTATAAAGGTTTAAAAGACAAAAACTGGAATTATTTTCTTAATTTCACAATGTCTTGCAATTGATGCTTGGGGTATATGAGTTCCAAATATCCCTGAAATCCTACAACATTATTTTATTTTTCAAAGATTTTATTTATTTGACAGAAAGGGAGAGCACACGCACACAAGCAGGCGGAGCTGCAGGCAGAGGCAGAGGGAGAAGCAGGCTCCCCGCTGAGCAGAGAGCCCGATGTGGGACTCGATCCCAGGACCCTGGGATCATGACCTGAGCTGAAGGCAGATGCTTAATGACTGAGCCACCCAGGTGTCCCTACAACAGTACTTTCATATCTGTGCGGATTTACTTATGGGGATGCTTTGAGCATTAATGAAAATGTGTTGAACTACATGTGTATGAGCACTACAGAAAGCAAGAGAATGATAAAATTCAGAATAGTAGGGAAGGAAGAGAATGGGATCAAGGGAGGAGCACATAGGGAAGGGGAAGCTCCAAAGATAATGGTAATAGTCTCCTTTTTTTTTTTAAGTTTTTTTTAAACTTTTCTTTTCTTTTTTTTTTTAAGTAGGCTGTTCCCCCAGCGTGGAGCCCAACGCAGGGCCTGAACTCGCAACCCTGAGATCAAGACCTGGGCCGAGATAGAGTTAGACGCTCAACCAACTGAGCCACCCAGGTGCCTAGGTAATAGTCTCCTTTAACTAGGCACCAGGTACTTGTGAATTTGTATTTAAACTAAACTGTTACATAAATATTCTTTTGTAATTCAACCTCTAGCCTTGTTAATTCAATGTTAACCTTTTGTTATATTTGTTAAAGCTTTAACAAATATAGGGGCGTCTGGGCAGTGCAATTGGTTAAGTGGCTGACTCTTGGTTTCAGCTCAGGTCATGATCTCAGGGTCCTGGGATGGAGCCCTGGGCTGGGATCCATGATCAGCATGGAAGTCTGCTGAAGTTTCTCTCTCCCTCCCTCTCTGCAACCCTCCCACTCACTCATTCGTGCCCCCTCTCTCTCAAATAAATAAACCTTTAAAAAAAAGCTTTAACAAATATAAAAGAAAGAAATCTAATATAATATATCAAGGTATTCCATGAAATACCGAATTTAAAATGAACAAGGTGTCTAGAAATAGTCAGGATTGTTCAAACCTCGGCTTGTTCCCACGGCCATAAATCATGATGTGGCTTTACAGGCTTCCCCATCCCTGCTCCACTCTCGTACCAACACACAGCACACACCTCTTCTGAAGGTCCTTTCATTCTATAGGCAGAATTCAGACCACCTGGAGCTTTAAAAATCATAGCCCATGCTTAGGTGACACAGACAGGAGATCAAGGTCTGTAGAGACTAAGATGGCAAGTAGTCATGGACACATTCCCAAAGAAAAGCAAAGACCACAGCAAGAGCATAGCAATGATCAGTGTGGTCTGGAGTTTTGATTTGGATACAATGAGGGTCATTTTGTAGAATGACTTTCCACGTGAAAATATCCGCTGTGAAGAAACGGTTTTTATGGACTTGGGCTTTGTTTTACAAACTGAAAAAATAGAGAGGACTACAGTAAGTACTGTTTAACAATAGATAATTATTTCAGGGAAAGTTGCTGAGCGTTTTGACTAAAAGGATCAAGGTATTTATGTAAGGAACTAAATATAGTTTCGCTTCAAATTTAACATTAAGTTAATCTTTGACTAGATAGGGCAAGTAGACTTTTAAAGAATTCTCTTGGTTAATTTATGCTGTTTTATATAACTTCTTTGATCTGTGTCAGTGTGCCAGAAAGAAAACAGGAGCCAAAAGTACAGATATTGTGAAAAATACCCCTTTAAAGAAAGTTGCAACACAAATAATAAAACGTCCAAGATTGAGCAGTTTACCATGTCTTCTGGCTCAGGAATACTGATGCCATGGAAAAACTGGTTACTTTTGAAGATAGATTGATGTCTTAGGATTAGTTTTCCTGCAAAATACAAAGCATGTAACTCATGACAAATTTGATAAAAATAAAAGTGTTTAAATGGTTAACTTCTGAGGTCCAGATACACAAGAAATACTGAGCCTGATCATTCCTTCCCGATTCAAGAGGAGCAAGTCGATGCAAAAACATGCCTCCTCAGGGCAGGGCAGGCCTCCCATGCAACTCTCTTTACCACAGGTGGCTTGGTCTGCACTCAGCACCCCTGCCAAATGCGGAGGTCAGAAAACCGTGCTGAGGGCTTTACACATGTGATCTCATAACTCTCTCACAGTAGTTGCTATTTTTAATGAGCAAAATGAGGCTCAGAAGTTCAATAACCTGTCTAAAGTCGCATGGTGATTAAGAGACAGATGCAGGATTCACCCTCAGGTCTGTCTCATGTCTGCTGCATGTAAATTTCCACAGTCCTTCTGAGAAATCAAACAATACATACTTAACATGTGGCCTGTGGTGCTCCTCAACCCCTACATTTTTCATGCTGTAGAATTCTCCAGAAGAATGCGTTGGAACCAAACATGGACCCGCATCAGACCACACAGCAGTGCTTCCATTGCCCAGCAGCCAGGCTGCCGGGACAGGCCAGGGGCAGGAATTAATAAACACCCACTGGGTGTGTAGACGTGTCATTTTCCTTGTGTCCATGCTGCTTCGTGTAAAGCTATAGCCGACCTTCTGGGTCGCGTCCTCTTCCAACTGCCACGGATGCTGACACATGGTGGACGCTTATGACAGAGGCCCCCTGAGTCCCATTCCTGCTCTGCATTAACTGTTGTAGGACTTCAGGCCAATCATGGAAGCTCCCTGAGCCTCAGTTTCCCCATTTGTAACATAGGCACGATTAAAAATGTTATACTGTCCTTAAAGGGTTTTTCTTAAGACTGCAAGAGATGATGTGTGCGAAAGTAATTTGTAAATTCTCAAGTGCTGTACGAAGGAGCACAGTTGAGGAGTTGCAACGGAGACAGTATGGCCCACAAAACCTAAAATATTTATCATCAGGCCCTTTCTAGAAAAGTCGGCTGACCCCTGCTCTAGAGTAAAGGGGGGAAATCCCTCCTTTGCAGTGGGCAGAAATGACATTTGATCAAATATCTCTTAGAGTCTGCTCTGTGCAGATGACTCATATCTTTGTTCCTATCTTAGCCTGACAGGGAAAGTAAGTGGATAGTTTATCCAAGGCTAATTGACTTGACTTGGAAAGGCACCTGAGAGCTCCTCACTTAGCAGAGTTATGGCTCCACATGGAGAAAATAGTTGGACTTTGGTGACAACCCAGCACAGGCAACCGAGTAGCACTTCGGAGAAGCTACAAAGCTCTTGTTGTTACATCATTACAGTGATGTCCTATCGCTGTAACAATTGAGCAACTCTGGAAGCCATAAAATGCAACTCCTACCCAGTGTTCTGATGATCAGATAAAGCTGGTCCACATCTGATTTTCCAGGCCAGAGTGGCTGGCCTGTCAGAAGCTCTGCAGAAACACAACCAGTGGCCCACACATCTACGGAAGAACCGTACTGTGTATCTCCCACAAGAAGTTCAGGAGCTCGGTACCATCGTGTCGCCACGTAATCGGTGTAGGCGGCTCCTGGAACTGCAAATGCGTCAGTCAGATTGGGGTGGGGGGGTGTCACATTTCCGTGACATGTGACCTACTCCTGGGAGCAGGTCAGGCATTCGGGCAAGCTACAGTAACTCCGAGGCCACAATACTCCTCACTGTTGTGGCAGCGAGGCACCAACTGCCCAAATACTTCCGCTGTGCGCTTGGAGAGTCAATTCAACTCCCAGGGGTCCCTTGGCTTAGTTAACATCAGTCTCATCCCACACAGAGGGGGGCAGGAATGAGGATTTCTGTAGTGGAACTTCAAGTTGAAACCAACTTCCAGGTGCACAGTGAAGCTATCTGCGTCTGTCCTACCAGGAAACTGGTTGTGTGCACACCCACCTTGCAGTGAGTTGTTGCTAATGCATGTTGTGGCCTGCCGCACAGTTCTAGATTCAGGGAGAAATCATGATCTGTTCCCCTTTCCCTTTGATTCCCCCTGTCTGGGATGACTTCCTTTTTCTTAGCACTGTCTCTGAAGCCTCTCCTTAATTTTGTTTACTCTTCTAGTCTTACCAACCCCACGGGATTTTCCCAACCTCTCTGGGGCACAGTAATGTCTCCCTCCAGGGAACCATCTGCACCCTCGCTTTGGTACTTCCCTGCAAACCATCTTGTATTATTCTTTTACTTCAGATTGTAAGTGCATGAAGAGCAGAAATGCATCTTATAACTCTTTTCCTCTACGAGGCAAAGCACATAAATATGACATCCAATAAATTGGAGTGGAGTGGAGCAGAGTTGCAGTGCACACTAAGGTACTGGCTAAAAGGTAAAAGTAAACTTTTCCTCTTTGAATAATCATAATGTCTGTCACACTTAGCATCCGTTCACTATCTAAAGTAAGAGTTTTATCATTTCATAATCATCTGAACTGGATAAGTGAAAAATTGCTACTTACTCAGAATTCGTGCAAACCCAAAGTCACAGATCTTGATTATTCCTTGCTTAGTTATTAAAATATTTTCAGGTTTTACATCTCTGTGAATACACTGTAAGACAATATTTGATTATTTCTGAGTCATCAAAATGACAAAGCATAATAAACATTAAACATTAATTTAGATGGTAAACATAGCTTATGAGGTAAAAACAAATATGCTTTTCCTTCATTTTTCTAAAAGAACTTTAATTGGCAAATTTTCACTCATAAATCTTATCACACCAAAAGAAGAAAAATCAAAATGCTGCCATATAAGCAAAGAAATTGAAATTATAATTGTTGGATAAGAAAACTTTTTTTTTTTGAGAAGGTCGTGTCATACAATTATTTCTTCCACATTTTACTGGTCTCTACTTAAACTGCAAGAGGTAAAGCCCTAGATGAGATTAGACTCAATGTATCTCTGATAAGAACTGCCGCCCAAGAATCTCAATTCTTGTTGAATAAGTATTGCAGATTTGAGAAACTGGAAAAACATTTGAATGATAACCAAAAAAAAATCTGCTTGAAAGTTGGCTTGTAATTGGAGTGACCATATTATTTATTGCCCTAATTGGGATGTATGAAAGGAGTGCTATTAGTAATTAAGCCAGGAAAACAGGACCAAACCACAACTGTCCTGGGTAAGCTGGGAGGTACGGTCACCTACTTCTCAAGAGACGCTGAGCCTTCAGCATCAGGGGACGAGGACCACTGCCACTCTTCCTCATCAGTGAGCTAACCTGGGAGGATTAGCAGCTCTCCTGGGATATGACCACACAGCGCTGTCTGCCGGGGTCCGTCCTGGGAGAGCAGTACACACCTCCGTGAGGCATTCTCCCCTCACAGAGGCTCCTGTTGTTATTCCTCTGTAGGCAGAGACCTTACAACTTGCTGCATCACTGTAAAGACCCTGAATGGAGCACATACTTCTTGCTGGACATGCGAGGGCCACACGGGTAAGGAGGCAGGCAGGCTGCATGAGCCTCACTCCTTGTTCTTCCAGAAATGACTGCTCCATGGTGTGGAAACCCTCCAAGAACACAGCTCAGGCCCTATTCTTCAGCACTTTATCTTTCCAGTCCTTCCTCCCAGACAAGCAAACAGATAAAACTGATGTTCTTCTTCTGCAGCTCAGCCCTCCTCTAGAGCTCTGTCCTTCTCAAGTCCTTGCACGTGAATTATTTCATTCCTGCCACAGTCTTGTGACTGCAGGTGGCCACTGACAGGGTCTCTGGATTGACTGTCACAGTAATCCACTCCTTTTGCCTCCTTCCTCTGCTGTGCTGTCAGTCCCTGTATATATTCCTGCCACACTGACAATTCTGAAGTAATTTTTCTTTGCTTCTATGGTAGCTATCTGGGAAGAGAAAAGGCTGAGTCCTAAATTCATTTTAGGTCACAAAAATGGCAGTGGTAACAGAAGCTTGTTCCTAGTTAGTCTCAATTATTATCAACTGTCTCATAATTTGTATGACCAACAAAAGAAACTTCTAGGTCTCTTTAGAATCCTAAGGCCTTTGATACTAATTTTTAAAAAAAATACATTGCTATAATATAAACCAACATAGTTTTGAGGTCCTACCTTTTAAGCAACACATTTATGAAACTTGGATGAACACTCTGAGTCCTAGTCACAATAGTTGGTGATTTACTAGGAATAGGTTATATTCCTCAAAAGAGTCTGCATCAAATTCTAAAATTTCTGGACTACGTGTGGCCTTATCAAGCAAATGGACTTACACTGACACTTGTCTTTTGGTCTACTTAAATATGATTTTTGGACCTAATGCAAATCCATGCAAAATTTTTAGCAATTTAGTTTCCAACCAAAAAAAAAATACCAACAAATGAAGTACTGATGTGTCCCAAAGAAACAGAAAAATTACTGGTGTAGGTGCAGGTAAGAGAAGCTACTAATGAAGAGGCAGAGGATATTGAAGAAAGCAAAAGAGAGTAAAAATGCCTGGAACAGTAGGAAGTCAAGCACGGAGAACAGAAGCTGCTTAATCATACAACATTCGCTTTCTCTGCCACAAAGCCACACTCCGTGCACTCTCGGCAGTGCCTCGTGCAGTCAGCTTGCTTTCCACCAAACACCAAGAAACCTGCAAGTCAGTGTGACACAAGCAGGGTTTTGTTTTTGTTTTTTTTAAATAACTTAGGTTGCATACACAGCGTTTAGAAAATGTTGTTCAAGTTGGGTTATTGTGGTTAATGTGTAATCTCATTTTTACTGACTCACAAGTCAACAAGAGGTACCGTGATCCTCAACTTTAAGAAACTCCAGAACTTTCACAAATTGCTTCTTGTAATATCTGATCAAATAATAGTTTTCTTATTTTTTTAAAAAGATTTTACTTTTAAAGTAATCTCTACACTTAGTGGGGGGCTCGAACTCATGACCCCAAGATCAGGAGTTGCACGCTCCACCAACTGAGCCAGCAAGGCGCCCCTAAATAATCGTTCTCTATTATCTGAGAAGGTTGTCCTCTTTGAGGTTTAGAGATGATTACTAATACAGCAGTGAGGAAAAGGACCCCCTTCTTCACAACCAGAACATTAGTATAAACGAGATGATGATGGATTGTTGCAGCCTGATACACATATCTTGGAAGTCACTGCAGTTTTGTCATTTTGCGATGGAGTTCTTTTTGTCTAATATATGAGGTATATAAAAATCCACGAGTTCATTATGATACTAAATGGGTCACTTTAGTTAACTCATTCTAGCAATATTAGAGGATAAGAAAGAACAAAATGAATAGGTACTTTCTTAAATCCAGTGCTTTTCAAAATTTAATGTGCACATGAATCTCCTGGAGACCTTGTTAAATGCAGATTCTGATTCAGATCTAAGGTGGGCCTGAGATTCTGCATTTCTAATGAGCTCCAAGGTGATCTCTATTAATAAGGCCTTAATCCCTTATAACTTTAACCTTCCTTGTCTTGGTTAGGATCACCACTCTGGAGATAATAAGGTAGTCATGGTCTCCATAGGTTGAAAGCTGTGAATTTTCAGCAACACCATTGGGTCAGATTGCCTTTTCTATTCTTTGAGAGTATCATGAGGGTTCCTTTAAAAATAAGGAGAGGATAAAGGTTTTGGATGTTGTACTGTAACAGCTTACATATGACCTACATTTTTTCCTTTGCGTGCATTTTAGTAATAGATAAAAAAATACACAAAGACTTACCATAGCATAAGAAAATGAGATAACAAGAATTCAGAAGTAATTCCCATGTTGGAGGAGGGAAGTTTGAAAAATTATCCATTTTTAATAGAGGTCATGGATTATCAATTGGAGATTTTTAAAACTTAAGATACAGAACGTGTTGTTCTGAGCAGAGAAATGATGGCAGTTACATTGAGCTATAATAATGTTTGGGTCTGCTGGGAACAGTAAGTCACAATCAGTAGGTAAGTTGATTGACTGATTCATTCATTCATTCATGAAGTTATTCAATAAATACTTATTGAGCGAGCACCTTTTATATAAAAAGATCTATGCTAGGTGTTGAAGAGATAGAAAGATAAATCAGCCCAGACGTTGCATTCAAGTTTATAACCTAGGACACAGGAAAGTGTCTGACTCTATAAAGGACAAACACTTATGGTAAACAGAATTTTCAAAAAATCATTTTAATTACCCATAAAACTCCTACAAGAACCTTAGGTAAACTTTAAAACCTCTGATAGCATGGTAGAAAATAACAGAGACATGGTTTTATTTATTTACTTTTTAGTTTTTTAGTTTTTTTAAAGATTTTATTTATTTATTTGACAGAGAAAGAGAGAGTGAGCACAAGCAGGGGGAGCAGCAGAGGGAGAGGGAGAAGCAGGCTCTCTGCTGAGCAGGGAGCCCGATGTGGGACTTGATCCCAGGTCCCCGGGATCACGACCTGAGCCGAAGGCAGACACTTAACCGATGAGCCACCCAGGTGCCCTGAGATGTGGTTTTAATTCAGCATCATCTTTAGGAAGTATTTGAAAGCATTTGCATCATGAAAACCGGCTTATGTTTCTTGTGAACAATATTTCTCTATACTTTATTTTTTATTTTTATTTTTTTTAAGTAGGCTCCATACCCAGCATGGAGCCCAATGCGGGGCCTGAACTAACAACCCTGAGATCAAGACCTGAGCTGAGATCAAGAGTCTGATGCTTAACTGACTGAGCCACCCAGGTGCCCCAACTCAATACTTTATTAATAGAAAATACAAGCTTTTGATTGATCCTAACAAATTCTTCATTGACTTTCTTAAAACTAAAGGAAGTTTCCTCTAAGTATTGAAATTTATTTCCATGATTTTGCATTCTTTTCCAGCAATTCTAGACTATGATAGACATCATGCTGGCATCAAAATTTATCATATGGTAGTCTGTATCCTTGCCTAGGCACTGCCTCTGTCTAGGCACCAACTCAAAAGGTCTAGAGTTATTTTTTAAAAACTGTCATTATAGCAAAAGTTCCCAGAGGCCAAAATAAGGAAGCTCCCAGTGGCCCAAGATGGGGTAATTTGAACATCAGAGAGAACTATCATTGCAAAGGATTGAAACACATCAAATATATAAGATCCATAAGTTTGTAATGATGCCTACATTCCCCTAAAACCTTCATTGTTCATTCTTGGAGGTTGCTAAGATACCAACTTATCACTCTGAGTATTGACAAACAAGGGAAATAATCACATCTTTATCTTACTGTATTTTACAGTAACCAGAGCCTGTGAGGGTAGGTTCTTCTCTATAGAATTCAAATTAATAAATGCAGAAGAAATAATAGAATTTAAAAATCACCATCTTTTAACCCTAATGAAATACTAGATCTAGGCAATCATCATCAATGAAGGCTAAAGCCATCAAGTAAAAAGGTTGACCAGGAAACTCATAGTGGAGAGGATCAAACTAAGCTCCCAAACCCACTTATCTATTTCAAGATGATCAAAAGTGGGACAAGCTGACATAAGCCTCATGATGTTGACACAAGAAGACATGTACAGCATTACATATGAAATATTCTTGCCTGGAAAACTGAACCTGAAATGATCAAGTTTCTAGACACAAATACCAATTTACCGGAAATACAGGTGAAAGAACAAGTTAAATGACACACAGGAAGCAATCAGCCGCAATGTTTCTAGAACACGGTAGTATTCAAAGTGTGATTCTTGGACCAGCAGCTTCAGTATTAACCAGGCAAATGTTAGAAATGCAAATTCTTGGTGCCCTACCCTGGACCTATGGAATCAGAAACTTTGGGGGTGGGCCCAGAAAACTGTATCGTAATAAGCCCTCCAGGGGGGTTGATGCATGCTCAAGTTTGAGAACTATGGGTCTAAAAAACTAATGCTAAAATTTTTTTTTAAAGGGATAGTGGAAGGGGGCCTCTTAAAGAATAAAAGACTCAAAAAACATAAAAACAAAACCAAATCAAGTGCCATGGGGAGTTACACCACTGCTATCCAGCAAACTTATTTAACCCAGTTTAAAAATGATCACAGGAATCACCAGTAGGATGGCAAAAAGAACACTGAGTTTATACAAGCTTTTAATTCATAAGGAATTAATAATTTGGAATGGAATTCAAATGGAAATTTGGAAAAAAAAAAAAGCCATGGATTACATTTCCCATATTCTGTGACTTTCTTCCTTTCCTTCCATCTTTAGCTCTTTAAGGCGATCCCTGAGCTATTTAGAAGAAAAGAAGAAATTAACAAATATGTTGGAAAATGTTACTTACGTTATGTTTATGACAGAAATTAAGAGCTTGAAGTGTTTGCCATAATACACTTTTGATCACTCCATCAGCAACTCTGGGGGAAAGAAAATTAAAAAGGAAGTGAAAACTCCTAAGATGGGGAAGTCAGGAGAGGGAGCTGGGAACAGAAAGGGAGTGGGTAGGGCTTGCCGTGGCCAACAAACATGGTGCAAAAGGTGTGCTGGAGATAGCTTTTTGAACGTGTTCATGAAAATTGCTTTACTATGTAGTTTTCATTATAGATAATTTTCTTTTGTCATTTGAAAATTTTAGATCTGTAGCAACGGTATATGCTTGTCACAACAATCCAAACAGTATCGCAAAGTAAAGGAATAGAAAGTGTTGACTCAAAACTTGCTACCCCAAACTAATTGCTGTAGTGCACAGTGGTTTCTCTTCCAGCACCTTTGTTTCTTTCCCTCTCTCTGCATTCACTTTTTTTTCCTCTGCATTTACTTTTTAACTTTAGTTTTTTGTTTTTTGTTTTTTGTTTTTTTAGAGAGGGGGAGAGAGAGGAGGATTGGGGGAGGGGTAGAGGGAGAGGGAGAGGGAGATTCTTAAGCAACTCCATGTCCAGCGCAGAGCCCAATGTGGGGCTCAATCTCATGACCCTGAGATCATGATCTGAGCCGAAATCAAGAGTCAGACGCTTAACAGACTGAGCCACACAGGTGCCCCTTTAATTTTAAATAAATGCATTCATATGGCTCAAAATTTAAAAAATATAAAAGTATATCCATGAAGAACTCTTTCTCATACCTGGCTAGTCACACATTTCATTCTCTGCAACTACTCCCTCCTCTTTCAGGAAGCTTGTATGCATAGAGGTACAAATACTAATGCGTTCACATCTATTTCGTGGTCTCATTATATGGATGTGTCATAATTTACTTAGTTAGTTCCCATTGGTGAGCAATTAGGTTGACTCGATTTTATTCCTAGAAAAAACATTTCAATGAATATCTGTAATCATCCATCTTACTGCAATTAATTTTTTAAGGCAAGTTCTAGAAGTGGGACTTCTAGGACCAATGGTAGGCACATGTTACATTTTGATCCTGCAGACATGACCTTCAGATAGACCTAAAACCTGGTTTTGCAGGAAGAAAGGCATACTTGAAGACTGACTTCCAGCAGTTACGGTGGTAAACACACTCGAGTACATGCTGTAATTGTGTAACAGTTTCTTACACCTGGTAAGCAGGCAGGTGAGCAGCCAGGGGAGGCCAGGGAGAACACAGGTCCCATGAGAATGAGAGGCTGGATGCTTCTTGTCCCTGTAGGATCCTGGAAATACTGGAAGGTATTTTCCATTGCAGAATTGGGGATCTGGGCAACTCACATTTTGTCTGGGAGCAGTCTACTTTGTGTAACCATCTCTATAAATTATAGCAATTACATTCCCTTTAACTTTCTGTTGATGTCTTTCCATGGCTCACATCACTGTCCCATGCATATTGCCCACCGAACATCTGTGCATTCAAGTCCCTATCTCCTCATTGTCTTGCCAACACCCAGTTTTGCCAATGTTATGTTTGCCAAAACGTGGTTAAACTAAAAAGATAGCTCATTTTGGTTTTCATTGGCATTTCGTTAACTATTAGTGACTTTTGTTTTCACATGATTATTGGACATTACGTGTCTTCTTTTGAGTATTTCCTGTTCATGGCCTTTGTGTCTTTTTTGACTGGCCTGTTTACCTTTTTTAAAATTGATTCACAGGCGCCTGGGTGGCTCAATTGGTTAAGTGACTGCCTTCAGCTTCGGTCATGGGATTGAGCCCGCATTGGGCTCCCTGTTCCTTGGGAAGCCTGCTTCTCCCTCTCCCACTTCCCCTGCTTGTGTTCCCTCTGTCTCTCTCTCTGTCAAATAAATAAATAAAATCTTCTTAAAAAAATAAAACAAAATTGATTCATGAAGACTCAATATATACTGGAGTGTGCATATGTGCTGCAAATATTTTTATCCGTGTGTTGTTTGTTTCTCAACCCTTTTCGTGGGGATGGGGTGGCTGTTTGCATAGTTTCAAAAATCTGAGACACAAGATGTCTTTTCCTGTCTACTTGTAAGACTTTTTTAATTAAAAAATTTAAAATGATCGAATATTCCAAACATACCCATTACTTGGCCTTAATGTTTTATCATACTTGGAAATTTAAATCATATGTTTAGATCACTTTTAAAAACTAAACTCATCCTGCAGATGTTGTGGACCTTACAGAGGGATGGGACAGCCTCTGTATGACTCAGGCATCGAACCAGCTACAAGACCTCACCATGCAAAGCTGCGGTACGTGCCGAGAAAGAGCAACAAATGCATGGAGGTATTTTTCTCAGGGCAGTTTTCTAACTTCAGGTCACAATTATGACGGCACATTCTTGATATCCATGGTCTGGTGGCAGCCCTTTGACTCCAACTCTTCTAATAAGTATTATTAATATTGTGAAAGCCCCTAATTCTCAATGTTAAATCCCATTCTGCTGTAAGTGTCTAGAGCCATCTCTATTTCCTGCACTGAATTCTTTTTTTTTTTTAAGTTGTTTTTCTTTTATTTCTTTGACAGAGAGAGACAGCAAGAGAGGGAACACAAGCAGGGGGAGTGGGAGAGGGAGAAGCAGGCTTCCCGCTGAGCAGGGAGCCCGACGCAGGGCTTGATCCAAGGACCCTGGGATCATGACCTGAGCTGAAGGCAGACTCTTAACTGACTGAGCCACGCAGTTGCCCCCTACCCTGAATTCTGATATAACCTGATCTTTCTCCCCTCTTTGCCTAGAGCCATGCCAGACACAACACTGCTTAAAGGTTTTTATAAGAGACAGGAAGAATAGTACAGCCATTTTGAGCCCTATGAGGCAGGGTTCAAATCCCATCTGTACCACTTCCAAGTTTTAGAAGCCCAGGCAAGTTATCTGTGCCTGCAGTTTTCCTCATGTGTAAAAATAGAACAATGTTACATAAGTTTATTAGGAAGACTATCTCCTAAGAGTCTGGGCTTTCATATCTCCATAGGTTTAGGATGAGGGTCTGAGATCAGGTGAGGCCAGTGGATGGGCCGGAGACCCTGCAGAAAGAAGAGCCCCAAGAGAACAGCAAGAGGCCCTGAGGTGAGAACAGGGAGGGTAGGAGAAACAATTAGGAGGCCAGTGTGGTCAAAGATGAGTGAAGAAGTTGGTGAGGCTGTCAGGGGCCAAATTGCCAAGGGCCTTAGAGATCTGGGTAATTAGTTTGGATTTTACTCTAAGCCTAAAGGAAAGTCATTGAAAGGACTTAAGAAGGCCAGTGGTGTAATATGGAGGGTGGATTTCTGTGGGCAGAGTGGAGACAGGGAGGTTGATGAGGGGGCAGATTTAATAATGCAGGTGAGATCTGGTGATGTTGGTCAGAGAGGTGGCGGTGGAGGGAAGGGAAATGGACATCAGGCCTTGCAAGGGCCTGCAAGAGGAACACGTAGACACGGAATGCTGGGCCCCTGCAGGGACGGGGAATCAAGTCCTGGAATCGGGAAACAAGATAGGGGCGAGGGTTCAGAGACTGGTGGAACTGAGGTTTCTAGCGCTGATAACATGGATCCAGGCACGAACGAATGCTGTAGCAAAGTCCTTAGCTCTTGCTGTGGAAGAGGAACGTTTGTTTCGTGGCATCTCATGGGAATGGGTCATGGCTCTGCTCGAAACAGAACAGCTCTGACTCCGAGAAGGCAGGTTCCATCATAGGCAACACAGCATATGTACAAAATACCAGCGGCAAACACATACCACCGATCTTACAAAAAGAAGATAGTTATCGGAGAGAAGACAGATTCGCACAGGGCTCATTCCAGAAAGAGAGGATTGCAACAGGATTCAGCCACAGGCACCATGTTTCAAAGGGCTTTGAGGTGAAATAAAACCTTCAGAAGTCAGCTAACACTCGGTGTTTAAATATTATAGGCCGGGTAAGGGCAGAGACAAATACTGCAAGGCATAGTGAAGGCCTGAGAGCAAAAACTAGACATCCTAGCTCAAGACTGAAGAAGGGTGTCACAAGGGGGGAATGCCGACTCAATTGCTGGGGGACTGGCTCTCTCCGTCACTCAAAGGGGTCCTGCTGTGGACATCAGGACTCAACAGCTTTGCTTTAATTCCTTATATAACTTCACAGGGGGAAAACCTGAGTTCACTGTCAGTACCTGAGACTAAATGAGTCCTCAGTCAACGTTTGCTATCCAAGACTACAAGCCCATCTTGACTCCGGTCTGCCATCCCCTTCACACCGCCACTTCGGTTAACCTCCTCCCGTATTCCCATAGATACTTCACCCTGGCCCCAATGGTTTCCACCATTCTCTGAGCATGCCCGGCTTGTTTGTGCTTCCAGATCTTTGTGTTTATTGTTCATTCTCCTCCCCTCCCTGTGCTTTCCTTCCATTCAGGGACTTTGTCTTATTCACTACTGTGGCTCTGGGGCCTCGATGGTACCTGGTATCTAGTAGGTACTTAACTAAGCTTGTTTCTCTGGCACTCTCAGAAATTTTATAAACTAGCACCCTGTCATAAGTCCCTTTCTGCTTAAACCAGCTGGAGTGAATTCTGTTGTTGAACCCTGACCAGTTCAGAATACGCTACCAGAAGTGGATGTGGGCCACAGACCAAGGCCTTGGGAATTTGGGGATTGGCTATCTGATTTAATCGGGTCTAAAGGCAGGAGAACCTGATTACCATTAGTGACTGGACTAGCTGGTAGATGGGTACCGAGATGCAACAGTTGTTAAATCATCACCTGTGGTCATCTGGAATAAAATGCCTATTCAAGGCAAGCCTTTGCCTGAGTGTGACAGAATAATACGGGAAACATAAATAATACAAAAAAAGTGGGGCGGGTTGGCTCTAACTTCATGACAAATTTTTATAAAGGACAGGGATAAGGCTTTAATATCTTCATTCAAGGGAATTAGGAAACCAGAAATTTCAGTGCTTGCACTAAAAGAACCTGTTATTACTTGTATCTTTAGGACTCACTTCATGGATCTATAGGAATAACATGAAATGACTGAAGAATCAAACACGGAGAATAATC